ACATTATAATCTTTGAACATAAACATAAAGAATAGATATAATGTTAATATTTTATAACCTGAGAGTAAAATAATTTGTAGGGAAGAGTGTTATTAATCTGCTTCCAATCCTATACTATGTGTAAGTTTATGAGTGTACCAGTTATTGATTTGATGAAGTAGACAAATAGTTAGTATTTATTTTTACTTTTATTTTCATATTGTAACATTATTAAAATCTCTTTGAAGTTGATTTTTAAATGATAGAATAAATATGAATGATGTCTTAGGTTTATCTTTTCATTAGAGAAATCAACCCATTGTGTAGCAAAGTCAATACTTTCCAATAGTTACAATGTTAAAATTCTCATTTCTTAAAAAAAATCTTAGAATATTCTTTAAATTATTTAATTTGCACAACCAAAGTATTAGCACTTGGTCTGAATTCTAAATCATCAAAAGATAATGAAATAAAAAAATTTGAGTTTTGAAAATTATACCTCTTCTAAAGTTAGATGATCCAAACTGCCTACTAAATAGACTACTTGTTACTTGAATTATTTCCAAAAAATTTTTACCTCAATTACAAATCTTTTAATTTATGAAATTTTTATTTTATTAAAAAATCATATATATATATATATATATATATATATTTGTAATTATAGTTAGATAATAATTAATAATTTTAAAATCATACTTATTTTATATGCAATAAATTTTATATTTTTAATATTTTTATTAAAAAACTTTATATTTAAATTATCTTACAATAATATTCTAACTACACAAAGTCATATACATTAAGTCTTTGATAAGTACATAATTCTATATAATTCATCTTTTATTATTTATACTAAATAGATATAAAATGAAATATTATCTATTTAATAATAAAGAATAATTACAATCAAAGACAAATAATTCTATAAATCATCATTTTTGCATTTTTGGTTGTTTTTTAACTTCCACAAGATGAAGTAGAATATATTTTAGAAATATTTGAAGAATAGTAAAAGAATTTAAAATACAATTTAAAAAGAGCTAGTTGATACAAAATTTGCATAATTTTTCTGCTTGAAAAGAGGCTTTTTAAGTAACTATAGAAATTTATATATTAAGATCATTCAAGGAGATAAGTAGTGGCTCTCATTCAACCCATGCACTTCTCTTGGTTTTCATTAAAAAACTTAAGATTGTTTGGAGTTCATAGGCTCTTAAAAAAACCATGGTTCTAGATCAACAATGTGTTGCAAGTAGGAATCTACTTGTTGCTACGTGTGATGTTCATTTTTTTCTACTTGAAAAGAGGCTTCTCTATTGAAGGTGAAGTTTGGTCCTCAAAAAAGAAGAAGGCAAAATTACAACCTCCTTCTTGAGCAGAAGGTGCAAGTTGTGAAGGAATTGTGAAGGAAGAGAGGCAATGGACATTGGAATTTGCGAGATACACTTTTAATCCCAATCTCTGATTGTGAAGCACAACCTAGTACACATGCTAGTGGTGTAGCAAAACGGATGCATATTTATTTTACTTCTCACTTTGTACCTTATATCTTTACAATTGGATGATTGCAGGGACTTAAGCATAGCTATGAAAGACAATGCGCAGAGAAATGAGTTGTTGAGAAGAATTAGATTCACCTAGGAATCAAAATATATCCTTTGCTAAAGAAATAAAAGCATTGTTGCATGGTGTATGTGAGACATTACTTTCTTTGTTGTTGTTGATGAATGCATTAGAGAATGATGTGAAGAAAGTTTCAAAATTGAATTTTGGCATCTTTTTTTGACTCATGGATGGATAGTACTTTTGAAAAAGTTAAAAGACATGGCATGGTTTTTACTAAAAAACTTTACTCATAGCTAACATCAGAACCATTTATTCAAATTTTTTACCATTCATCTCAAAATTTATCTAAGTCTAGATTAGAAATTATGTTTCAATTATATGTTTATGAAACTTTCATATATGAAGTAAGTTTAGTATATTGTAGATATTCATTGATCAATTTGATAAAAATTAGATAGGTTGATCAAAGTTGAGGAGGCTTTGGAGTATGTCATAAGTAAAATGCTGTAGTCTTTGAGCTCATGATGCACAACTACTTGAAAAGATATTATTGACTTAATAGCCTATTGTCATGATTCATTCCTACATATATGCATGGATGTTCTACTTTGGTTATCTTTTAGATGCCAATATCATTAAAAATTTTAAAATGAGACATCTCTAATGTTATTGTATTTTGAAAGTACACATTTTAAAATGTACATGGATGTGATGGAGTACACTACAACTTTAAATAAGATGATTTGTGGTATAGCATTTTTGCCTACATGAAACCTAAATCATTTTTGTCGGCAGATAGTATCTTAATTATTTTTTATAGTAATCTAGATGTAAGCAACTTTGTAAGTTAATTTGTGAAGATCATGAAAAAAATCAAGGAGGTAATGTTGGTAGAGTAAAATAATGTCTAGAAAGAAGACATGTTGTTGGAAATTAGAAGTAGTAATGATAAAATTAACAGGGAGTAGAAAATGAGAGTGTGGATTCAAAAATTAAGGCATCTTGCATGTGAATTCATCAATGGTAACAACTATAGAAGATCTGAGAAATTGACAAAGAAACTATGAAATTATGAGTGATTAGTTTGCGATTTTTTTGCTGATGTAAGAATAATCTATTCTTAGATAGATAGATAATTTTAATCTAGATTGTATATTAGAGATAACTATTTTATTTTTATTTTTTTTTAGAAGAGAAAAAGATAATAAGAAACTTGGTTAGACTGCATCATTAACAACTTATTTCAAAGATCAATCACTTGCTAATATTTTCTAATTAATCTTATATAACTTAATAAGAACTAAACCTAAATTAAGAGCTACAAAGAACTAGAAACTACTTTGATTAATTATATAATTACTCAATCAAAATTTGATTATATTAAAAACAAAGAATCATGGAGGCTAAAATTTATTGGATATGTGCATTTGAATGGGATCAAAAAAAAAATTTAAGAGGAAATAATCCTAGGAAGTATCTGCTTATATCGCATATGATTTCTATAAGTCATGTTTAATATAAAATTAAGTGTTTGTAGTTTGTAATCCATAGTTAAATTCCTATCACATGTTTAGTATATTCTCCTTCTATAGAAAATCTCAATACCATTCACCAACTATATTGGTTTAAATATTTAAATTTATTATATAATTATTAATTCAGTATGATGGATGAATTGGAATTTTTCTTGAATAAATATAGTTGTTTTATTATATAAATACCAAAAAGTATAGAATATATGAAAAAACTAATCTATTGTATTAAAACTAGCATAAAAACGTAGCCAATGGCATAGATTTAACAAAATTAATTACTTTTTTTATATATTATATGTGATAATAGCATGGATTTACCTATCCTATTTCATATCTGAAAGCTTTATTGTATATTTTATTTCTTTTTATTTATATTTTATTATATTTGTATTTAAAAAATATTCTTTGGCTTACAAATATATCTTTTAAAAATAGCTTCATTTGAATTACGCTTTTTGTCACAATGACATAGATTCATTGTTATTGTCTTCAAATAGTTGATTATTCCTTTAGAAACATTTAGGATAGTGATTGCCCATTTGGAGGAACTACAATAGTTTTCGGTAGAGATTTTTACTAAATATTGTCAATAATTAGAAAAGAAACTCGAGAAGAAATTAATGAAAAGATTATGGTCATATTTCCTAGAAAAGAATAAGAAGATCTAAGCACCAATGAAGTTGTCAAAGATAGTGTTGAAAACAATAATGTTTATCTAATGAAATTCATCAAGTCGCTTAATCTATCTGAAATGGCTAGTTTAAGGCTTTATCTTAAGATTAAGACTCCGGTAATGCTACTAAGAAATATTGTTCTTTGCCAAAGACTTTACAATAGAACTCAATTAGTAATTATATGACTAATGGATTGAGTTTTTGAAGCAAGAATTCTTGGAGGAAATGTTTTTAGAAACTTAGTGTTCATTCCAAGAATTACATTAACTTCTACAATAAAAGGACTTCCATTCATTCTAAAAAAAAAGTAATTTCCAATCCATCTTATATTTGCAATAACAATAAATAAATTCCAAGGACAATTGGTGAAGCTCATTGATTTGAATCTATGACAACCTATTTTTTTCCATGGTAACTTTATATAGCACTCTCTTGATGCACTTCCTCCCATTCTATTAAAATTCTTTTTTCTAGAAACAACAATTTAAATTCCATACTAAATATATATTTTTTAAAAGTTTTAATTAGATAAATATAAGTAATTTATTTTTTATGTTTTATATTTTAATTTGTTTATTTATTAACTTTAGTACATCGTTGAATGTCTTAACATAATTTTATGATTTTTTAATGTAATTAAATATTTTTTTAATATTTTCAAAAGTAGTTACTTGAAAAAAATTAATTACTTTTTTTTGCATATTATCCATGACAATGGCATGGATTTACCTATCCTACTTCTTAGCTGAAAGCTTCATTGTATATTTTATTTCTTTTTATTTATATTGTATTGTATTTGTATTTGAAAAATATTCTTCGCTCACAAACATATCTTTCAAAAATAGCTTCATTTGAGCTATGCTTTCTTTGACAATGACATGTGTTCATCTATTCTACATTTATTTTTAAAAAAATTGTTAATATGTTACCTCACCTCATCAACACTAGATTTTAAAAACTTTAAATATTCAAATTACCTAAGGCACATTTTAAACTCCAGTGATAGTAGCTGAACACACCAATTTAAAAATAGAAGACAAACAGCAAAAAAAAAAAAAAAAAAAAAAAAAAGTCTTCCCATGCAGGTCACGTGACTCGCCTTCTCATTAAACATCAGTTTGATACAGAAAAAGAGGCACATAGAACAAACTTGTTATCCTGTGACATCTACTTCGGAGCTCTCACAGCAAAGTGGTGAGCTCCAGATTCCACAGCACCAGTCACGTTGTTATGAAGCCTCTACGCGTCACATTCAACGTGGGCTAACATGGCTGTAGAACATGTGCCAAGATGGCGCTTTTATGCTAGTGAATGGTCAAAACGCGAGAGTCGCAAAAATCCAGCACTAGTTCGAGGCTTTGCATTCCACAAAATAGTGCTGAACCTTGCCTCAAACGATGAATGAGCTGACCCAAGAGTCGTTCGCCGCCAAAGAATTTCGGAAAACACAGTTTGCGAGAATGACTTAGTGGCTGTTGTGAAATCCAGCAACAATTGCTCACTGCACTTAAGCGACACGGCTGGTTACGTTTTGGAGCTCAATCTCTGCAGTGGCAGTAGAGTGAAACGGGCTTGTCTAAACAGCGAGTGCTGCAATGGCGAACCGTAATGTGACGAAATGGAGCCCTCGGGTGGCGCAAAACGCAGGCGCTGGAGCCACGGCAGGTGGGGTCGTGAGCCTTTGCTTGCATCCTGTTGATACTTTGAAGACGCTCGTGCAAGCGCGAGCTGGTGGCAACCGCAACCTCCTTCCCATTATGTCCGCTCTTATTTCTGAAAGAGGTAAACCTTTTATAGTCCATGCCTGTACGCTTGTCCAGTGTCGTCAACTTCTCAGTAGTTAAGTTTCAAGGGTTTCTTTACGTAGATCCTTCTCCTTTCCTTGGATCTTGCTCGAGAGAGGACGTCTAATTTGCAGGTTTGGGAGGTTTGTACCGAGGTCTTGGAAGCAATTTGATTGCGTCCACACCAATCTCAGCTATCTACACGCACACTTATGAAACCGTCAAAGCTGGTCTGCTTCGCCACATTCCAGAGGTACGACTTCACTGACGTTGGAACATGTGAAGAGTGTTCTGAAGCTCCCGATCTCGCAATGTGGTGTCATGGTTGTCTGGGGTGAGGTGTGTTAAGATTTTGATGGGATGTTTCTTGTAAAGGAGGGGACGCCATCGACGGTTATGAACCTTCATGTCAATTGAATGCAAACAGGATATGTCAGCACTGGCACATTGCGTTGCTGGGGGATGTGCATGTGTGGCCACCTCCTTCGTGTACACACCGAGTGATTGTGAAACAGCGGATGCAAGTGCACGGATTGTATACAAATAGCTGGTACGGTTCAATATCCCGATGTTCCAAATTTGAAAGAAATCTGGCCGATGGGACTGATCACGTCGTTTACCAGCACATAGTTTACACGATGCGTGGTGATCTTCTGCCACGTGAGAATTGCCCTCAAGCTTTCTCCAGCATCCCCCGGTCCGCATTTTGCCTGCAATGTGAAGATTCCGAGTTTCTGCTGTTGAGCAGTTGTGGAATAACTCAGGCAAGCGTTCACTTCGATAGTGCAACAAGGAGGGTTGCCGACGCTGTAAAAGGGTTGGGGAGCAGTGCTTTGTCGCAATGTACCGCAATCTGTGGTCAAGGTATGCAACTATCTCCTTATCGAATGCGATGTTGGTTGCTTTTTTGTTGATAAATCTAGGGGTTGCCTCTGGTGGTTTTCTTTGCATGGTAGTCGCGACTTTTTGATTGGTGGTGTGTGGAGGTTCTGAAGAGTGATGGCGTGTGGTGTGGTGATCGCACAGTTCTACACATATGAGGGGCTGAAGCGCTGGATTTAACGAGACCAGCCTCGTGACACCCCTTTGAGCACACCACAAGCGGTAGGTTGCGTCGGGTGTTGATTTCGTTGTATAGTAGCTGACTTGATGGTGAATTACATGACATTGTTACTTTGTCACCTCTGGGCCGATTAGGCAAAGTATGGAGTCTTGGTGGAGTGCTAGCAGGCGTGGAATGATCATGAGGCGTATATAGATTGGAATGAGAGAAAGAGCACGAACTGTAACTGGGTTTGTGGATGTGTAATAAAGGGCATGATACGAGGACGTGTCTGTCTTGTTCTGATCCGCTGATTTTTGTGCAGCTGGTTGTCGGCGGTGCTGCTGGGTCTACTGCTGCTTTATTCAGTACTCCTTTCGATGTTGTCAAGACTCGGCTGCAAACGCAGGTTTTGAGCTGGTTCTGGAGTGACCAGTACTGCCCGTATTGCTTGTTTTGGAATCTGTGAGTGTTCCACGGAAGGGGATTCTGTGCGCATTTGTTCCTTGTCGAGCACATGGTAGCGTGGGTGCTGAAGCTTCAGGATGTGACGAATAGGATATGATCGACTTGACTAACCTGGTGTTGGGTGGACAGATCCCTGGGACAGCTCAACAATACACTGGGGTTATTCACGCTTTCCAGAGCATTGTCACTACAGAGGGTGTAGCTGGATTGTACCGGTGAGTTGCATGCTATTTAGTTGCAACTCTATGTTTTTGATATACGAGATGGACTGAAATGGGTGCGGCCTTTATTTTTGGCGTCGACCATTCGTTTGTTGTGGTTGTACATGATTGCGATGTTTCAGGAATAGGCATATTAGTCTCGGCAGTGCGCACTGGCCAAAAACTGAGGGGGGCATTGAAATGGAGAGTGTTCTCCTTGATTTACTTAAGATTTTGCACACTTGCAGGGGACTAGTACCGCGGATATTGATATACATCACCCAGGGGGCACTTTTTTTCGCTTCATATGAGTTTATCAAGCGCGTCCTAGCAGTGAAAGCCCCGGGGCTTCCAGTGAAGACACTTCGGATGGAAGAATACAAACGGCAGGTGGTACCCATTCCAACGAAGTGCAGTTGTAACGGAGCATGCATCGTACATGCAGTATTTATTCATTAAGTATAGAACTTTTTCTTTAATATTTGATAGAATTTGATTACTTCAGAGTGAGGTGGATAAAATATGCTCACCTATTTAATAAATGAAAGTAAAGGTATTCATTTATGCTTGTATGATCTATTAATAGACTTTTTCTAATCCATTTTCTTAATGACTCTTCATATATGCAACATTGATGTTTTTTGTTGTTGTCTCTTATTTTATCTTAAGAGCATGTATGTGCATATATATATATATATATATATATATATTGGATAGTATTCTTTTGATATTATGCACAAATCTCATAATATTAAGTGTATTGAAAATATGAATTTATGAAATTATAACATATTCTTGAAGATTCTATCTTGCAAATAATTATTGCAATATTTTCTATTTTACATAATTCTTTTTAAAAAATTAAAAAATTTTAAAAAAAATCTATAATTATATTTTTTTTTGTATAAAACATCTTGTTGCATACTTTACATTTAACTTTGCATCTACTCCAAAAATTTATAATAACTCAAGTCTTGACTTTTAATTTTAATTGTAAATATTTATCTAAATCTAAATTATAATTTAGTTAAAAATACAATTACAAATTCTAATTCTTAAATCTCAAACTCAACATCTTAATCTAAATTCTGAAAACAACTCATGATAGTATTTTAATAATACCTAACCAAAAATGAACATCTATGGAGAATGTTCCAAAAAAATAATGACTCATTGTTTTTAGATCTTCCAAAAACTCATAATTCATAGTACAAGCAACAAGCTCAACCAACATCTTTTCCAAAATACAATAAAAACAACCAACTTCATTGAAACTATCAACACAAACAGACACACAATAACATCCATAATGACAAATTAATTAATATTTAAAATTTGAGATAATTTTTTTATTTATAGAGATAAAAATACAATGAAGAAAAAATGTAGAAATGGAAGAAAGCTTGGCATGAGAAAGATCCAATTAGTTTACAACTTTTGAATTTAATAAACAAAAGTGTGACATGATCAACTTTGTGGCATTATTAGACAAATTGACATTTATTTGTTGCTTAGTTTCTTGAAAAATCTATATTAAAAGAAAAGTGACATAATAGTAATAAAGTAGTATGTATATTAAAAAGAAACTAGAATGGCTATTGCCAAAAGACAAGAAAACTATAGACTCTTAAATCTAGACTAGAAGCAAAAAAGGAGTTGATAAGAATGAAGATGGCTTCTTTCTTGCCTCTATATATACTATTTAGCTAAGAGCTATGTGGTGATGTTCTATAGGACTTTTAATATGTGTTGACTTTGTAAAACACATGCCTTAGCTTCAAGGCAAGTTTTTTACATTTGGGACACATAATTAGCTTGTTCTTCAAGCTACGAACATGTGTGGCACATGACTAAATTTTTGACGACGTTTCTAACCTAAAAAGTCAATTATAGATACCTATAAAATCAAAGTAGTATCTATGAAGCTTTCAAGAAGATTCTTTAGAAGATATTATGAAATTAATCTATTTTTACCTATTTTTATTTAATTATATAGGTAATTATTGGTTTACATGTATATGTCTATGATATTACCCTCCCTTCAAGGAACAAGTTCTACAAGCAGCGGTCATCATGTATTGAAAAAATCGAAGATGTGGCAAATTATATTTGCTACATACTTTGAGCTTTGTTTTCTTTGAAGATGGTTGATAGGGCCTCTCAACCATTGATAGTGTGTCATACCAAGGCGGAAAGACCACCCAATTATTTGATTATTGTTGAGGCCTACATAACTTCTTTCAAATAAAATATTTGGAACACTGTCAAGAATTGTTCCTACTTTTAGTAAAATTACTAAACATCAAAGTCCCTTCCAAGGTCATGATACCAAACGCATTGTATCTCACCATGTATTTAAGAAAGAACATATCATTCTTGAAGATCTTCATCTCAATTGCGCATCTTAAAGATTGTAACAATTACAATGTCTCATTTGATAAGTCAAGAAATGAAAGTTCTAAAGTCAAATGTGCTAGTTGTTGGTTCTCTATTTCCTTAATGTCACAAATATACAAAAATTGTAAACAAAGATAGAAGGTAGAATGCAATCTTTCTTGGACCTTGTTTCTTTTATAGCAGACTTTTTTTACTTTGAACTCTTCATTATTATCCACTTCTATAAGAAGAGGTAGAACTTATCTTCTTTTTGGTATATTCACAATCTTATATGGTTCAAGAAGAAACACATAGAAGACATGATGGATCTTCATTGACTCTAGTAGATGTAATTATTAAGCAACTAAATTGATTTGTCTACAAATAGGAAAAGATCCATGCTTGCGGTAGTCCAACTTATTATTAGGACGAGTAGACTTGATATTATAATGAAGTAACCATACCTTGTTATGTACATTGAATTGAGATTATTCCTTTTGATAGGCATCTACATTGATCTTTTGTCGTTCTTGAGCTTCTTTTAATTGTACCTTCATTATTGTATGTAGCTTTGATAAATGATTTGTCAAACCTTTTGCCAGAAGATTATGAACTTTTAAAAAGTCAAAAGTATCAAGTTGTGGATGGCAACCATAATTGATAAAAAAAAAAAGATATTTTTTATGTAGAAGAATACATTATATTATCATAAGCAAACTGTACCAATCGCAAGAAGGTTCTTCAATTGTCTTGTTGATAATTGATGGTACACCTTAAGTATTATTCCAAAACTTGATTTACTTGCTCTGCTTATCTACCAATTTGACAATAAAAAGTCGAAGAAAGTTTTATGTCCATCTTAAAAATCTTAAAAAGAATTCTCTAAAATCTTGATACAAATTGAGTCCTCCTATCTAATATAATATCTTTCGGCAATCCATAATATTGATAGATATTGTCAAAGAAAAGCTTGGCAATTTCTTTACCTATGATAGATTTTGTATATAATAAAAAATGGCACATTTTGTTAAAACGATCTACTATCACAAATATAGAATCACATGATCCTAAGATTGAAAGATCCGTAATAAAATCTATAGAAATAAAAGACCATGGTTGTTCTAGAATAGGTAATGGTTGAAGAAGTCTATAAAGTGGATGCGAAGGAATTTTTGACTTTGAACAAATGTCATGATTGAACAAAAACTTTTACAACCTTCTACATTTGCGGCCACCAAAAATCTTTGGATATTAGCACCAAAGTCTTCTTATATCTAAAATGTCTTGCTCCTAGAAAGTTGTGACGTGCTTGAAGAATACGTAAATATGATTCTCTTTCTGATACATATAAGTGTCTTTTGAAATAAAGTAATTTGTTTTTGAACTTGTATTTAGAAGTATTACAAGACTTAGAAGAAGTATTCTTAATATCATGAATAAGAAGATGAAAGGACATACTTGATTGATTTTTTTTGAAAAAAGATGAATCAAGAGTCAATATTGATTTCACTGCTTAAAGATGAAATTGTATTGGCTTCAATAAAATTATCCTTTATTGATTAAAAAATACATTTCCTTCTTTAGATACAAGATAAGAACATCTAGAAAGGGTATCAAATAAATCTTATTTTTTTCTTGGCCAATAAGTGATATTGAACTCAAATCTTGATAAGGACATGCTCCAACGAGCTTGGCAATGATTCAAAATACAAGCTGAGATGAAATACTTGAGGTTCTTATGTTCTATATATATGGTGACTAGATTGGAAGTGCCTTCTAAATAATGATGCTGTTTTTAAAAAAATCCATAATTGCAAGAAGCTCTTTGTTGTGAATCTCATAATTAATCTCGGCTGTTGAAATTTTTTAGAATGAAATGTTACTGGGTGAAGTTTATCATCTATTCTCATTTATGATAATACAACATTCAAAGCAAATTTTGATGTATTTGTTTCCATAAAGAATGCCTTAGAGAAGTCAACGCAATACAAGATTGGTGCAAAAACAAAGGTTGTCTTTAATACTTGAAATGTTACTTTCGCTTCTTGATTCCATTGAAGTTTGTTTTTACAAATCAAACATGTAAGTGGAGCTACAATTTGAGAGAAGTCTTTGGTAAAGATCTAATAGTAGTTGGCAAATTTCAAAAAATATTAGACATCTTAGACCATTTTTGGAATCTTCTAATCCATAATAGTTTAAACTTTCTTACAATCTATCATAAGTCTATCATTTGAAATAATGTAATCTAAGAACTCAACTTGAGTAGTATAGAATACACACTTTATTATCTTGGCATAAAGTCTCACATCTCTTAATTTTTGTAACACATGACAAACATGAAGTTCATGTTCTTTTGTGTTTTTAGAATAGGTCAAGATGTCATTTAGATAACAAACAATAAAATCATCCAAAAACTATTAAAAAATATCATTCATAAGATCGTAAGAAAGTTTAAGATGTTGATAAGTTGATAATGCATTTATAAGTCCAAAAGGCATGATATTATATTCAAAATGTCCATACATAGTTCGAAATGTAGTCTTCCATTCATCTCTTTCTTTGATGCATACCAGATTATATGTTCTTTATAGATCTATTTTTGTATAGATTTTAGCTTGATTCAATTGATCAAGAAGTCTAAATATTAAAGATAGTAGATACTTGTTATTGATGGTAATCTTGTTGAATCTTTGATAAAAAACACACATCTGCAATGATCCATCTTTTTTCTTCACAAATAGAATTGGGATTCTTTCTCAAGATTTAGAATGGTGTATAAAGTTCTTGACTAGATTTTCTTTAATATAATTCTTAAATTTGGCTAATTTATTTTGTGATAAATTATAGATTGGTTCAAATGGTGATTGTGCTCCTTGTTGAAGGTCAATTGAGTAGTAATAGGGATGATGTTTTAGAAGAGTATCCACATTTTTTTTCTCAGATACATCTTACAATTCTTGATATTGGCTTGGAATGCTATTTGAAGTCTTTGTACCAGTAAAAATGGATGTGGCATAAATTATATAAGGTGATCCATCTTTTATAGCATGCAAAAAAGCTCTTATACTTACAAATGTATGTTTAATTATACTAGAATTATGATTTTTTACTTCATTAATTATACTCTTAGTTATATTTTTAGAAAAATCAAGAGTACAAAAAATCCAATCTATTTAAGGATTGTATTTTTTTAACCATGA